GGCCGGCCCAGCCCTAACCCACGACACCTCCTAAATGTGTGAGGGACTTCCTCACCCCAAATGACACCTGCCAGGTATCGCCACTGAGCTAGGAAAGTCTCCACATGACAGCTCCCTCTGGTCTCCCCTTGCTCAGAAAGGTCACCACTCTTCCCTTCTGCACCACTTTTGTGCTGCTCCTCGCTCTGACTGAGAATGGAGAATCGCCAGGGCTCCCTCTGCTCCACCTCAGATTTCAAAGCCTGGCTTGGCCTTGCACAAGGTGCCTTCCAACCAGCAGCTGACAAAGGCTAAATTCTAAAAGCGACCCTTAATCAGCTTTTCCAGCCACCAAGAACTTGCACATGAAATCACTGGAGCTGTAGAAAAAGTCAGAAACTGTTTTCTGCACATGCTACAAAACTGCAACCTAACACTCAGCCAAGTCCTGTAGCGTGCCCGGGGCCAGCTGCACCAAGTATACAATTTAGCTCCCCAGAAAGAATGCACCTAAACCACATCAGATAAATCGTATCCTTACAAATGTCCTCATCCTCCACTCCCAAGGATGAAGGCAGCCACAGGGAAGGGACTCTGAAGCATCTGCCCATGCTGCAGACGTGGGAAATAGGATGAGATGAACCCCAGCTGTGGGGAATACATGGACACAAGATGCTGCACCAAAGGGAACAGACTAGTCTGGTACTAGTCTTGCTTTGGAAACAGCTCAACAGAGCGATAAAGCATCAGCAGACAACAGCAGTGGAAGAACCTATGCCTTTTATTTATTTATTTCAGAAAAATATTTCTGTTGAGTTCATCACAAAAGTCATTTAACAACAAACGACGACAAACAAAATCCGTACAAAAAATGTGACAGGAAGAATGGAACAAACAGGATAAAATAACAGAGACTGTTATTTTCCCCCTCGCCCCTTCAAAATGAGGAAATTTGCACTGAAGCACAAATAGGCAAACCCAGAAATCTTCCTCGAGTGCCTCTGCTCAAGTTTAGTCTGTCGAGTTCAGCACATTCAAAGAGAAACGACGTGCCTCTGCCTGGCTTTTACAACAGCCACCCTTCGCTGCTGCCAGCGAAAAACCCCCCGAGGCAAAACAAACTTCACAATTTGAGTATAAAGCCTGCCAAACTGCCTGTTATACACCCATGAAGTTTACCAGAAGGCTGTAAATCAAACTCCATCAACTTCATCTACTGTAAATGCAAGTTGGGGTCCACCTACCCAAGAGACAGAGGCTGCCGCGAACCTCCGCGTGCCACAGCACGTCGCCTGGAGGCAAGGAGGAGGCATCTTAAAGTAGTTGTTTTTCTCTCTGACCAGGAAGCCTACCAAAAATATATTTTAAAATGGTCAGCAAAGGGTAAGGGGACCTACAGGGGAACTGGAACTTGTCGTCTTCACTAACCCAAACACGATGAGTAAGGAGAAAGAATCCTATACAAACAAATGAACGCAAACGCAACTGTAATGCCCCGTAAGGTAAGAGTCACTCGAAAATGATACGTGAAATGCTACATCTGCTCTTCCTCCGCCCCTTTCTCTTCCCAAGCCCGCTCCCCGAGCATCTTAAGATGAGAGAACTACTGCTGGTGTGTCACAGCTCTTTGAGGCTAGGGCAGGAAAACACCCCAAAAAATCACTCAGTCCCCAAATTTCTTAGGTTGGATATTGGACACAGACTACAAAAGCAGTCTCAAGCCCATAGGGAGGGTGCAAGCAATAGTGTTACGCTGGAAGTAAAAGTGCAGTTTTGCTTTTGTAATCCACTGGACAAGAGCTCCCATCTGGGCTTGGATCTTTTTTATTTTTTTTTGCAGAAGACACAGGCTTGACAAGATGGGGCACGGGAAGAGCATCCACTCCAGGAAAGTGAGTTTGTGGCATCTTTGTACGCAGAGCGGACAAAGGAAGACTGACTGCTAAGGGCTTGCAGTGAAAACATGCGGTTTGGGAAAGAGAAAGCTCTTTGGGCTCAAGAGAAGGCTCGGTCTGCTGAGAAATGACACGGACATAGAAGCAGTTGCTGAGGGATGGTGCTTGCACTAGAAGACAGAGACAGAAGCAGCCTGTGGCAGGACTGCAGACCTCTGGGATGACGGCAGGTATTGCCTTACAGCAAAGGCTCAGCTCAAAAAACAAACAAAAACCCAAACCACCAGGGATCCTGCCACGTTTGGGATGGGGACTTCTGAGGACTAAATACAAAGGGAGGGCAAAAAAAGCCCCATCACCTACAGACTTATAAAAAACAAAGAACACATGGAAACACTTCTAAAACAAACTGTCCCTTTTACTCGTAGCTCTACCAAAAAGAAAAGAAAACCCACATAGATGTATCATATGTTGTACATACGTTGTAGAGAGGGAGGGGTGTTCAGCTACTGGTATAATACAAAGATCAAGCGTACGAGAGACTACACGGCAACGTAAGGCACTTGGGATACGAAACATCATTAGCAACTGTAGGAAGATGCAGGATTGTGCAAGTGAAAAAGCTGCCTGAAGCGAAGCAGGCAGCAGGAGGAATCACTCAGCAGCCAGGTTTTTTTTTGGGGGGGGGACTGTACGAGTCAGCTGTTAACAGTCACCAGCTCAGCTGCTGTGAGACACCAGCTTTGCACAAGGATCGGCTGAGGCTCTGGAGAGACGCCGGCCGGCAGTCGCTCTCGGAGGGCACGTGGCAGTGGATGGCTGGGAGTGGGAAGAAACAGGTGAAAGGAAAAACCCTTCACACTAGACCTTTGCCACATCCTCCCTAACATAAAGCTCCTTCCCTCCCTCTCATCACATTGCACCAGGGGTACTGTTGCTGCCTCTGAGCCAAAATGTGTATTATCTACCTGGGGAGGGCTACCAGGAGCAATAGCAAGATTCCACCAAGGGCTCTGCTCGAAAGTCTCCTTCCTCATTCCCCTGGAAAAAGAGGAATCTCTTTCCTGTTGATACCTCTCATTTGACACTCAGAGGTTGTGGGCACAGGGGAAAAAGTGGAATTTGACCGACTGTCCTCGTGTCCCGGTGTGTTTTCTCTCTCTGGTACCCAGCATTAACTGGGGCTCAACAAGAAGAGAGGGAGGAAGGGAAAAGATGCCTATAGAGGAAAGAGAAAAACCCAGCCCAACTCAAAAAGGGGCAGAAAATCAACTGTCACCCATTCCCAAGAACACAAATGATGCAAAAGACGACTGCGCTAGCCTCAAGCTAGAATTGCACTTGGAGAGAGCCAGAGATCAGCTGCTCAAAGGCAGCAAAGGGGCACGCTGAGGACCACGCGCCTCCCTCACCTGCAAGGATGGTGGACCTCAATCCTGGCTTGCGTATTGAGGAGCACCCCAGCTCCCTGCAACCCTGTACCCCCTCTTCTTGCCCCAGAACTAAAGCTACAGCTGGCTTTGCTGCACAAGAGGCACCAACAGCAAAGCCCAGCTACAGAAACTGCCCCAGAGGAGGAAACCTGCGGGGTGAGAGGTGCCCATCTACTGCACGCCTACCAAATCTAGACTGGTGCATGGCACCCCAAGAGCACTCAGAGAGCTGGCACTGACCCACAAAACCCTGGGCAGGAGATGCTGCTCCCCAGCAAAGAGGGAGCAAAGGGGACCGAGCCGGTGGGATCCAGAGTTCCCACAAATCTGCCAGCACGTACAGGTGGCAGCGGGCAGGAGCAAGAGGGAAAGTGGTCTGCAGCAACAGATGGCCTCTGAGGTAGATTTGAGACAACTCCATCTGCCATCAGCTATGCGTCACAGGTCAGGCTTTTCCTAATATGCAAGCTGCTCCTTGCAGGCCCAGCGTCCTTCCCCGTCCCTGTCATCTCATTCACAGCTCAGAAAGGGATGAAGGAGCTGGGTTTTTTTTGGAGGAAACCCTGCATTTGATAGCACCTTGGGTGGATACAAGCTCTGTATCCTTTGGAAACAAAGAGTGAAGCTGGTGGGTGCCGATGGCATGGCTGGACTGGTACGGTAGTGATGAGAAAGGCTGTGGCAACAACATGAGGGGCACAGTCCCATCGATGCAAAACCCTTTGCAGCAGCCAGTATGCTCATCTGGACATCGCCATGAGCCATGAGAACATGGGGCTGGCAAAGGGCCTGGGCTGACAGGAGCCACACCAGAGCTCAGAGCAGGACAGGACTCAAGGTTTCACGTGGACCTGAGGATGCTGCTGCCCCACAACAAGGCACTACGAGCTGTGGAGCTCTGGGCTCTGGTCTTGGAGCCAGGAAGTCCAGAACAACTACGGACCAGCTCACATCCTGCAGCCAAGAGGGTAAAAGGGACCCAGCTGTACCAGAAATGCTGGGGCAAGCAAAATCTAGAAGGTCCTATAGGAAGAGGAAACTTCTCTCCCTTCTCCACCGCCCAGGTCTCCAAAATTAGCTCAAAACCAGGGTCTGGAGGAACCTCACTTAGCCAGAAGTCCACCATGAGACAGGACACAGTTGAGGTTCCTCCCTTAGACCCTGGTCTCTGTTTGCAGCACCACCATCCTGTGGCACTCGCCAAGCACTGGCCAGATGTGCCCCAGGAGAGGCAACCCTCACCTGGGAGCACCCCTGAGCCTCAGGGGCACAGAGCCCCCATGCATTCCCCCAGGAGCCTGTTCCCATAACAGACATGTGGTGCCTTCAAGGTGCCACAGCCCTGACCCCGGGGCTCAGGGAAGCACCATAGAGATAGAGGAGGAACATGCTGTAGGAAAAAAAAAAAAAAGGATTGTTTGGAACCATCTATGATGCATTTGTAACAAGAATCCAAAACAACCAAACACCAAAATAGAAAAGAAAAAAAAATTGCACGCTGATTTACGATGTAAATGGAGGAATGCAAAACCAGGAGGGTTGGAAAAGGCTCCTACGAGGGGAAGGGGGCAGGGGAAAGGGACTTTTTTGGTTTTATTGCAAATGGTTCAAGAGAGCAAGAAAGGAAGGGAGGAGAGTGAGAGACACCTTGGGAAGATGACCGGTTTCCAAGCTGTTCAAGGCGATGCTCGTGTAGACCGAGAGGAGGGGCTGCTTCTTAGTCCTGGTATCTCGCCCTCCTCCCCAGGAGACAAGCCTTTGCTTCTATGGCGATTTCAGCTTCTTGGTTCGAGGTGAGGTGCCGTTCTCTGCTTTCACCACTCCGTTTTCATGGTACCCTGGGGATGGAGAGAGAAAACTTTGTCCCTTGCACAGGCCAGAACCACCTTAATCCTCTTGGGGCTGGCCCACAGAATCACAGAATGGGTTGAGTTGGGAGGGCCTTTAAAGATCACCCAGTTCCAACCCCCCTGCCATGGGCAGGGACATCCCCCACTAGACCAGGCTGCTCAAAGCCTGGCCTTGAACACTTCCAGGGCTTCCACAACTTCTCACGGCAACCTGTTCCAGTGTCTCATCACCTTTATAGTAAAGAGTTTCTTCCTAATATCTAATCTAAATCTATCTTCTTTCAGTCTGAAACCCCTTTGTCCTGTCACAACACTCCCTGATCAAGAGTCCCTCCCCTTCTTTCCTGTAGCCCCCTTTAAGTACTGGAAGGATGCTGTAAGGTCTCCCTGGAGTCTTCTCCAGCTTGAACCCCAACTCTCTCTGCCTGTCCTCATTGAGGAGGTGCTCCAACAGACACAGGGAAAGCCTCCACCACGGCACCAACCTTCTGAGGACCACCTAGGCGACAGCATCACCTGGCACGGGCAGTAGCCTGCAGAGGGGCTGCTCAACCACAGGACTGATGTCTCCCACAGCACACAAGTGCCGGCACTCACCAGAGTCCCTCTTGAGCGGCTTGGCTTGCTGCTTGGTGCCGGCAGCGGCTCGTTTCCGACTGCTCTGCGTATCCCCGCCAGCGCCGCAGCTGGAAGTGGATGAAGCGCCACATCACCGAGGCCTGGAAGAGGCACACCAACAGCAGCACACTCATTCTGGTAGGGGCGGAGAAGAGGCAGGCTGAGAACAGAGGAGCCAGGCTACCACCAGCCCAGCCTTCCACCCACACCAGTGTCGGTGGCCCAGGTCTCCCTGGGTGGCTGCACTGAACGCTGGAGGCAGGTGGCGTCCCTCCAGCCCCCATCTCTACTTTCTGCCATCCGCTGAGCTCAGAGCAGCCACTTCCCTTTCCTTCTCCATTGCGAAGTTCTCAGGTGCTCAGGGCATTGCTGGCTGTTCAGATTTTAGGGATCGAAAGGATGAATAGGGTCATCTCAAGCAGCACTGCCCAAAGCACAGTCTGCATGTTCCAGCTAAGCTGTCCCCAGCTGCTCTGTACATCTAAAAGGTTGGAAAGGAGCTAAGAAAGTCCCCCAAATCCTCAGGCATGCCAGTAGCCCGTGGCTTCAGAAACCTTGGGAGTGACAAACACCTGTCCTAGCAACTTCTGAACTGAATGTACAGCTGCTGTATGGGTGAGAAAGACTCCAAGTCCTAGTGGACGGACTGCAAGGCATGGGAAACAGATCCCATCCCCTGCTTCCCAGGTCAAGAGGCAGTAAAACATGTCCAAGCTGAAGCGAAAACTCATTTTCATGGACTGCATCCCCATAATAGGTGTTATGAGTCCAAGGAGAGCCTGCAAGACTTTCCCTAAGGTACTTGCTTCTACTCCTCCTTCATAACTGAAGTCAATGAACAACTTATTTGCTGTTTTTTTCCCCTCTGCTGTGGTTCTGTAGCCTTTAACTGGTCCTCGTTCCCTCCACACCTGTCTAGCTAGGATATTCCCTAAAAGGAACCTAGGCAGATCCACACTGACATTTCCAAGCTCGGCAAAAACCACCATGGGATAACACAAACCAAAGGCAAGAGGTTTCCACAATTCAGTCTTCATGTGAAAGAACGTATTTAAAAAAGTAAAGGCAGTAGGTATGGTAGGGGACGTTCCTACCTGAAGAGGATATTGTTGAAGAGAAAGCTGAACAAGTTCCCTCTTTCAGGGTCAAGGGCCTGGTTCTCCACCCGTGGCAGCCCGAAGCCGATGACCAGGATGTACAAGGTGAGGGTGAAGAGCCTGGTGACCACGAACACGACAGCCCAGACGTTAAACCTGTGGGATGGCAAGCAGAGGTGTCGGCAGGAGCAGCCTCCAGCACTGAGCTGGAAGGTGAGAGCGAGAACCCCCGTCACGCTGATGGCTCCCCTGGAGGACACCGGAGGATGGAAGCCACGGCCAGCTCGCCTGCTTACAGCTTCTCATTGTTCTCATCCGTGAAGTAGACCAGCCGGGCCATGTGGAAGAAGAATTCGGCCAAGTACTGCAACAGCAAGAGGATCAGCCCCAGGCGGGTTAAGCTAGGAGGGAGGAGAAAGAAAAGCATCACTAGGCTGGTCAACCTCGGTCCTTCGTATCCAGCTAAAGCATCTCCTCTGCCACCCCTGAGCTCCAGCAAGCACCAAACCCAAACCTCTCCACAGCACCTGGGGTGGGCTTGCAACGAGGGAAATCCTTGTCCCCAAACCAGTCGCAGAGCTGGGATGTGTCCAGCACAAAGCCCTGACCACTGGCATTGCTGCTCTGTGCACGAAGAGCGAGGATAAGAGCTTGCCTGCTCGTGCCACGCTGGGAGAGCACCCCACAGTGCTTCCCACACCTGGGGGAGGTCAACATCAATACCACCTGCTTTTCAAAATTTGCCTTTACTCCCTTTAAGCCCTGCCACCCCGCTGAGGCTTCCCAAGAGACTCGCGCTGCAGAAGGACCCGCTCAGCCCCAGCCGCGATGCCGAAGCAGCCGACTCACTTGAGGAGGTAGGCGCCGGCGACGTGCACCAGGTAGAGCGCGATGCACCGCAGCTGGCGAGGGATCTCCTCCTGGCAGAGGCAGAAAGCCGCGTTAACCCTCTCACCCTTCTTCACCTGCCCTCTCCCAAAGCTCGCTCTCCCCAAAAGCCAGCAGGCAAACCACCTCGAGCATCCCCAGGTTGCGCAGGAGCGCCCGCCTGGCTCTCACCTTGCGAACTTTTTGGAAGTAGAGTTCTGGCAGGGCGTGCAGCCAGTACGCCAGTTGGCACAGGTAGAAAAACTTCACCTGGAACCTGAAACGCAGGGATGAGCTGTGTGAGCCAGCCTAGAGCATGGTAGGACCCCAAG